CATGATAATAATAGTTTTTAACTAAAAGGAAACCTATACCAAAAATAGTTATTGTTAGAGTGAAAAATTTTAGAGACTTTTATTAATATTGCCCAGATGACATGTAATACAGTTTTAAAAGATTTTTTTAATAAATGAGATAAAAATCTTATTTTTCCCCTCACATTCATGACAAGAAATTGAGATTCAAAACTAGAGAAAGGGGCCAATGAGGTGGCTCAGTGGTTGAAGGTGCTTTCCGCCGAGCCGGATGATGTAAGTTTAGTCTCAGGGACCTGCGTGGTGGAAGAAAAGAACCAGTTTCTCCAAAATGTCCCCTGAACTCCACACACAAGCCGTGTGGCCCATGCCCACACATATACATACAAAAAGAAGTAAATAAATGTGAAAAGAAAGAAAATTAGAGAAAGGATATCCCTGTCCTTGCTTGTCCTTCTAGGACATTCTGTAGCAGAGAAGAGACACTTGGGTTAGGGATCATTCTGAGTCAGACAACAACTGAGGCATAAGAGGCCAAAGCGAGAAATACGCTGCAGTCCCTTGAACATTCTATCACTCTGTGTCTCAGATGTCCCCTGATCTGTGAACAGGAGGGCCTCTTCAGCGAGTCCGCTAGCACTTAGGAGAAAGCAGACATGAGGCCAAAGGAAAAGAAACCCACTTCCTCTGATCTCAACTTTCTCCACACTTAAGACAAGAGGACCCACAAGTTCTCTCTCACTTTGAAAGAATGACATCAGATCCTTGGCACAACAAAATTTGATGCAAAGTTTAACACAAATTGAAAAATGACCCATCACTACATAATATCTTTTGGGCTTCTGCTTATTCATGATGTTCTTCACATGCCCATTTTTCCTTTGGGAAAAAAAAAAATGGAAGGCTGAAGAGATAACTGAGTTGGTAAAGGATTTGCCTCACAAGCATGAAGACCTGAATTCAGATCTACAAAACACAGGTAAAAAGCTAGGCATGTCGATGTGTGCCTGCAATCCTATGGATGACACAAGATGGGAAGTTAGAGACAGGTGGATCCTAAGACATGTGTACACTGCAGCGTTACCATGCCACATTACAATTACCTGAATAAAATAGCCCGGCTCTTGACTTTAGTTTTGAAGAGTGAGCCCAAACTCAGAGAACACCCATTCCCCGAGACGTCTCTTGGAATTGTGCCCAGGAATTGTGTCCCAGAGTCAGGCCTCACCCAGTTGGTCCAGCTTCAGTTGGGGAACTGCAAGCTTGGATCCACCCTTATCAGACAACCCTGTCCTATCAGCCCTAGGCTTAGAATATCTCATACACAAAACGTAAAGTGCTCTTTCTCAATCTTCATCATTTTCAGTGAAGATGCAGTGCACTGACTTTCAGTGTCTTGATATGTTAATTCTCAAGCATACCTGTATTTATTCATTAACTCTGGGTGGAATCAAAAATTGAGGTTCGGAAGAATAAAGGTCAGGTGCCTAGATCACAAGATCACATGGTTCAGTGATTTTGTAGTTTTTTGGTTGCAAGGTTAAAAGTCATTAGTCCATATTCTGTCTATTTTATACAAGTCATTCCTACAGTATGCTAGCTAGCCTGGTCTGTGTAGCAAAGTTCCATGTCAGTGCCAGAACCTATCTCAAACAAAAGGTGAATGGCACCTGAGGACCACACACCCAAGGCTCTGACCTCCATGCCTTACACAGGCACATCAACACACACACACACACACACACAGAGAGAGAGAGAGAGAGAGAGAGAGAGAGAGAGAGAGAGAGAGAGAGAATAATTTGTGGACTTCTTTTAAAATTATTCACCTTGCAATTTTACCCCCAAAACGACACATCTACAATGCAGCCTCTCCCTCCAAGGTTCAGGGAACAGGAGGCAGAAAGAATTGTTAAAGCATCTCTCAACTCTCACCAGTGAAGGTTCTTTGTACAGTAGAGGGTTATTAACATGAAAGCCACAAATGGCCAAAGTGCAGAAAATAAGAGACTGCAGAGTGCTTGTCCCTGGGTAGGACTCCTGTATCCAACCTCTGCCACCCAGGGCTCAGGGATCATTGCAGAAGAGAAGGCAGAAAGACAGTAACAACCAGGGGTGGTGGATGACCACAAGGAAACAGCTTTCTAGGTGGCTAGGAAGTTGCTCATTTGAACTTACAGCAATGGTGACAGCATGCACGAGACCCATGCAAACTCAAACCAGACAAAACCCAGCATAAAGGTGGGGAAAGGGTATGCAGCCACAACCTTAGCTGAGGAACTATTGGCAACCAATGACTACCAGGAGAGGGAGAGCTGGTTTTCTTTAAGGCAGTGACTCTAAATAGGTTGACGAGGCTCCAGTGGGTGGACTTGCACTGAGGGACGCTTGGGGTCACAAATGTGGCTCAATACACCTTAACATATATGACAGAATTCATGAAATCCAGTGGGGAGGGCTAAGTGGGGGAGAGGGTTCAGATAGGGGAGGGGTTCCCACTAGGATCAAGATGTATTGTATGAAATTCATAAAAATTCTAAGGGGGAAAAAAAAGTTTGTGTGACTACTTACCTCTAGACCATTGATTTTGGTCATAAAGTCTAAGAAATCTGTGTCAAATTCTGTCCTTCGTGGATCTAGGATGTCATACAGCTTTTTCTTAATCCCTTGATGGATATTTTTGAATTTTATAGCCATAATATCTATTCCTTCGATTGTAGAATTACTCAAGGCTGAGTATGTCTGCACAATAGTTATCATTTCTGTAATCTTCAAAAGAGAAATGGTATTTTATTAAAATGAGTTATTAGGCCCCTTCTCTAAAATAGGCTCTTCATGAATCATTGACTTTGAAAAATAAAATAAAATAAAGGTCTGGGAATGTAGGGCTAATTCCTAGCACTTGGAAGATGAAGGAAAGAGGATCAGACATCTAGGGTCATCATCTACAAATGGTGAATTTGAGCCACCCTGAGATACATTAGACCCTACCTCGATAATATAAAACAACGGCTAGGCAAGATGGTTCAGCAGGTAAAGGCACTTGGCACTGAGACTTCATTTCTAGGACCCACAAGGTGGAAGGAGAGAACCCCCAAGTTGTCTCTGACCTCCACACTCTCTCTGTGGCACAAGCGCGCACACACACACACACACACACACACACACAGAAATGCAAAAATCTAAAAATAGGATCTATCATTTAGCTAAAACCAACCAGAGGAGACAAAATAGAAAACAAACTTCTCTGCTGGAGAGGTAGCTCAGGGACAGAATGGCGGAATGCTTGCCTAACAAGACCCTGGGTTTGATCTCCAGCTCTGCAAAACTGAAAGACAAAAAGCTACATAGTACCCTTTGGGCTTCTGGTTATTCATTAATGTCTTTCACACATTCATTTTTTATTTTTAAAATAAGATAAAAGGCTTAAAGAGATGACCCAGATGGTAAAGCATTTGCCTCACAAGCATGAAAACCTGAGTTCAGATCCCTAGAACCCATGAAAAAAAGCCAGGCATGGTGGTACATGCCTGAAGTCCTAGTGTGTTACATGGTGACTCAAGATGGGAAGTGAAGACAGAGGGATCATCCCACCAGGCATGGCTGCTGTTTAAGACAGATGGAGTTCTGTCACTTCCAAAGAGAACTGAATACCTTTTTCAGGAGTTAATTACTTTGTGCTTGAGGTGCGAAAGACTTGAGTAAATAGTTTCAACCTTTTGTTTTCAAGAACTTTGAAAACCATTTCCAAAGCTCTATTATTCTTGTTGGTCCTAACTGACAGTTCTGATATGTGACATCAGCATTCATCCACCTGTGACTTCCATCTGACACCTGTGGTCAGAGAAACTGGTCCTGAGTTACCATTTAAATACAAAACGTTCCCCACAGGCTGCTACAGGTCACCAGCTATTTTGGAATGCAGGCAACATAAAGAGATCAGATCTAGCTGGAGTCACTGAAGGTATGCTTTTGAAGGTTACACCCAGTCCTCGGAACTTCCTGCCTCTCTCTTCACTTCCTGTCTACCATGATGTAAGTGGACACGGTCATATACTCCTACCACCATGATGTTCTGCCTGAGGGCATGGGGCCAACCAACTGTGGATAGTTCTGAGTCTCATGGACCTAAATAAATCCTTCCACCTTTAAGTTGTCACAGTGATAAAAAAAAGAAATTGACACCCCAGAAGCCTAAAGGATGGCAGCAGTCTCTTCTGACCCTTGAAAAACCCCAAGAAACTCCCATAACTGATTTTATTTTAGACTTTGTCTTGGAAATAGCTTCCAATGTGCCATGCCTGCTCTAAATGTACCAATGCCATCTACTTCACACATACATGCGAAAAAGAAACACAAAACAGCAACAACAGAAGTCTCTTATACGTGCAGGCTATTTAGTTCTTAATCTTCAACACTTTCCATTTTGAGTTCTGCTTTAAACAATATGGTTCTAAATTGTCTAGGGAGGATGATTTTGTCCAGGGTGGGGAGGGAATGAGCTTCTCCTCAGCAAGTCTCCCAAATACCATATACCATGAAGACAACATTGTGATCCTTCTAGACAGCCATCAGAAGTCCCATACAGTCCTCATGCCTGTCAACTCAGAACCCTCGTCAGAGTAACCACTGTTCGAACTACACAATTTCTTTACACTTCCAAAAATGATTGTATCCAAACCTGGAGAAAATACAGGCCACCTAGTATTTTACAGCATGCTACATGTGCTCTCTATAAGCACTGGAAATGCCTGTCTCCTAACACAAACACTCCACTTGCCTACTTTATAAAGCAAAAGCAAAGGAATTGAAACTACCAACTGCTGTTATGCTGATCTCTTAAAAGTCTGCCCTTTAACCCTTACTACCACCTGGCCCCAACAGTGTCAACATTCATACATACATACATATACATACACACATACATATGTACATACAAGCAAAACATACACATTATATATATATATATATATAAAATCCAGGAACTGGGGCTGGAGATGGCTCAGCAGTTAAGAGCACTGGTTGCTCTTGTAGAGGGCCCAGGTCCAATTCTCCACACCCCCATGGAAGCTAAGAACCATCTGTAACTCCAGTCCCAGGGGAATCTGACCCCCTCATCTAACCTCCGCAAGGTGTTGCACAAAACGAGTATTCTTACATACATGTAGGCAATACACTCTTACACCTAAAATAAAAATATTCCCTTACAAAGAAGACCGAGAGAGGTTGGTAATAGCTAATGAGGAAGGACAGAATGCAAAAGAACACATGAGCTATAAAGCTATTTTTTCTAGCTTTTTCTTCTATTGTAGTGGATAAGTACATTAAAATGTAATTGATAGTGAAAGCGTAAAACTCCAAGCGACGTTCCGCAGGCTCAGAATGGCCATTCGAACTGTAGAGAAAGTTCACTGAGATGCATAGAGTTTGAGGCTGAACAAGTGTGTGAGTGGTTACCTTAATCTAGCTATGTGACACTTTTACGTATGAGTTAATTAGTAAAGTGATTTTTAAAAGCAGGGGAGGTACATCTATTAGAAGCAGAAAGTATATCAGTAGTGTTTTTCAGGGCAAGGCAGAGGGGGAAATTTGGTATAATTGCTAATGAGTCATAGTTGAGCAGCTCTGTGGAAATACTAGACACTGTTGTACACTTCATTTTTAAATTATTTATTTTTTAATATTTTATTATTTTTATTTTATGTGTATTCATGTATTGTCTGCATGTAGCTAAGTGCATCCGTGTCATGCAATGCCCTCAGAGGACAGAAGAGGCTGTCGGAGCCCCTGGAAATGGAGTGGGTGCTGGGATTCAAACCTGGGTCTTCTGCAAGAACAATCAGTGTTCTTAACCGCTGAGCCATCTCCCCAGCCCCTATTTATTTATTTTTATTTTATGTTATGCTTGCATGTGTTTAAGTACCCCGTGTCATACAGTGCCTTCAGAATTATGGACAGTTGATAGCCGCCATGTGGGTGCCGGGGTTCGAACCCAGGTCTTCTGCAAGAACAGCCAATGCTGGAGCCATCTCTCCAGCCCAGCCTTATACACTTTAAATGGGCAAATCTTATGAAAACTAAGTCTCCATGAAGCTACTAAAGAAACAGACTCATGGAAGTGTTTTGAAGGACCTCATTTAGTAATTTGGTTCTCTGCATCACCCACACTTTCCCATTCAGATAGCAAATAAAAAAGTAAGCTTCCGGACATGTCAAAGAATGTCCTTCAACCTGTGTTCTGTCCTCCCATCTCCTGCTACCCAGAAAATAATGACTAGGATCTTAAATCCTACCCAGATCCTCAGAGAGGCTAAAAGAATGCCTAGATCACACAGTGCATGTGTGTGTGTGTGTGTGTGTGTGTGTGTGTGTGTGTACACCTGTACAGGCAAGAAATCCATATGAAATGTCTCCCTCAATCACTCTGCACCTTATTTTTTGAGACAGGGTTTCTCACTGAACCTGGAACTCACTGGTTGGCTAGGCTGGTTGGCCAGTGAGCTCCCCTGGTCTGTCTAGCTGACTCCCTACCAGCGATGGGATTAGATGTATGTACCATCATACCCCACTTTTTACAGAGCCACTAGGGATCCAAACTCAGGTCCTCAGCAAGCAATTTACTGACTGAGCCATCCTTCCAGACCCATGATATCTTTATAGACTTCCCAAAGACTGACTCCAAGGAACCTCTAGTGTGGACTTCCCTAATGCCCTCTAAAGAATGCCATCACAAGCCAAATGTGGTGGTGGTGCACTCCTTTAATCCCAGTGCTCAGAAGGCTGAGGCAGGCAGATTTCTGTGAAATTGAGGCCAGCCTGGTCTATAGAGAGTTCCAAACCAGGCAGGGCTACAAGGAGAACTTGCCTCCCCGCTGCCACCTAAAAAAGAATGTCATCCTCAGCCAGTCCTAAGAATCAAAGTAAAAGATACAGAAGTTTCCAACCCAGGTCAGGCCAACAAAGGTTTCCCTACACACTGTCCAGATACACCACACACACAGGTTCAGAAGGAAGAGGTGATGTTCCACACCTGCAGGTTGCACACATTCTCTCAGCTTAACATAATGGTCAAAAGCAGATGCTTTCAAATTCAAGGTTCATCTATATGAGTAGAATTAAGGTCTTAGGAGAGGTGAGAGTTGGCAATAGCCTTTATGTGCCAGGCACAAGGCTCTAAAATGCAGTATGAAAAAAAAGTCAGTTAAAATAAATGCTGTAATGTGTGGGTAATCTGATTAGATGTGTCAGATAGCAATGAGAGGTGACCTGGGACAAAGATCATCTACCACAATGTATAAACTTTGAAATAACTAAAATGGTCTGGGTTGTGGCAGAATGCTGACTGCCAAGTGCTCACCTTCTCCAGTCTCTTGCAGAAGGCTTCGAATTTTCCAAATATATACATCTCTGAAACCTCAAAAGACTTTTCCCCTGAAGATTCCAAAATCTGCTTCCTTATTTTGTGAAAAGATGCCTGATATTCCTTAAATAGAAAAATGCAATCCTACAAGAGAATTGGAAAAAAGCAAAGAAGGTAATAAGAGGTTTGCCCAGGAGCCAAAAATCTACCCAGTGGGTCGATCATGACAGTCCCCAACCCCTCAAACAAGGGGCAGTGCTGTTAACAGAAGTTCAGATTCTCTGCTTAAATGTAAAGGCTATAAACATTAATATACCTTTTTTTTTTTCCTAAGACAGGGTCTCCTGTAGCCCTAGCTGGCATGGAATTCACTATGCAGACCAGGTCAGATTTTTAAAAAGGTCATAAAGTTGAGAAATGATGTGTTGGAGGGGAAACAGAAGTCAGAGGGGAGAAATGAGGGGCAGATATAATCACATTTCGTTGTATACATTTCTGACATTCCCAAGAAGAAAGAAAAATAGGGACTAGAGAGATAGCTCAGCAGTTAAGGGCACTGGTTGTTCTTGCAGAGGACCTGGGTTCAGTTCCCAGCACCCACATGGGAACTAACAACCATCCGTAGCTCCAGTTCTAGAGGATAGAGGATCTAATGCTCTTTTCTGGCCTCTTCAGGCACTGCATGCATGTGGTGCACTTATACACATAAGCAAAACACTCATACACATAAAATAAAAATGAAAATTTTTGAAAAAATTTAAAAAGTTGTTTTGTTTCTCAGCCTTCTGCTGAGGGTACAGTTTTTATTCTTCCTTATTTATATTTACTTTGTGTGTATGAGTGTTTTGCCTACATGCATGTAAGTGTACTCATGTACAAATGCCCATGGAGGCCAGAGAGGGCATTGGGTCCCCTGGAACTAGAGTTGCAGACAGTTGTTAGCTGCCATGTGGGTGCTGGGAACTGAACCTGGGCCCTCTGCAAGAGCAGCCAGTGTTCTTAACCATTGAGCCATCTCTCCAGCCCTCAAGATACAGTCTTTGAGGATTTTCTTCTTTGTCAAGAAGTGCTCTTGACACTAGAAAAAGAATGTATGTTCCTATTCTTGGTAATACCTTCCAATCTTGAATTTCTGCCTGCAGAAAAGATACTTATAACTTCGATGAAAAATTGCAGACCAATCCTCATTGAAGCAATTATTACTGCCATTTCTACCTCTGGCCACTGATTTCTCCACATTTTGTTGCTGCTGTTGTTGTTGATGTTGTTTGACACAGGGTCTCTAGCCTAGGCTAGCCTTAAACTCCATATGTAGCCAATCCTTCCATTTCCACCACCCCAGTGCTGGAATTACAGGTACATGCCACCACACCTACTTTATGTGGTGTTGGAGACAGAACCCTGGGATTCATGCGTGCTAAGGCACGAACTGCATCCCCAGCCCAATTTCTCCACATTTCATAGATGTCTGTTTCTCTTTGGTAATTTGCTCATCGCTACTTCTCTTCCTTAGCTGCAGTAGCCGTTCCTGATTCTGTAGAATAGATAAGTATTCCAGTCAAGTGCTGTAAACCCACCAGCTTAAGCCTGTCACGGCTTCCTCACAACTTCCACTCCTTCAACCTGCTCCTCTCCTTGCCAAAGTGACATCTCAATGACAACCTTAGTTATATTCTTGAACTGCTTTATCCATGATTGTTTCAAAGTTAGCCTGCTTCGTGGATAAACAGAGTATGCAGCATCGAGTTGGCTGGGCAGAGCTTTACTTTGTGCAACTAGAATACTTCTACAAACCTTGATCTTCTTTAATATGGCTGGTGTCTCCTGGTCCCATACGTAGTTTGCTCCTCCGTCAGTAATATATGCTTTACACGCCGTCACCATCTGGTTTGTTACCTAAAATGAAGGGAGATACAAAATAACTTTAGGTAAATGACTTTTAAAAATAGATAGTAAATAATACATATGATAAATAAGATAAATAATAAATCACACACACACACACACACACACAAATTCTAAACAAGGAAAGCCCAAAGTCACAGTTGTCTACTGCAATTAAGTCAATGTCCCTGGGCTCATGAGTTCCAAAGTCAAGTACATTTTCTCTTTGTCTATTCCACCTCCAAATAGCTCCTGATTCGGTCCAGGTATGATTTGCCTTCAACAGGCAAGCAGCTCTCACATGCTCCCCCCCAAAATAATAAAGAATAACCACTGAGAAATGGTCAGGAGAGGGAATGTAGCTCAGTTGATAGAGTGCTTGCCTAGCATGCACAGGCCCTGGGTTCAGTTCCCAGCACCACTTAAACAGGATATGGTTGGCGCACTCAGGAACTGGAGGCAGGAGGATCAGAAATTCAACCTCATCCTCAAATTCTAGTTCAAGGCTAGCCTGGGATACATGGGACCTTGGCAAAAGTGGGGAGAGGGGGGAGAGAGGAGAGAAGTGAACAGGGAGAGAGGGAGAGAGGGAAGGAAGGAGAAAGAGAGGAGAGGAGAAAGGGGAAAAACAGAAGGAAGGGAAATAAGTGGTTAGGAGATTAGATGAAGTTGACAGGCAGAAATTCAGAATTTGGCAGAATTTTTAAATACACAATACATATAAGATCATACCTATAGGCAATAGTAAGGACCCAGGTCTGAAAAGGGTTACTGGGGGAAGGAAATAGTTCTGGATGATTTTTTTTAAGAGACATTGATTTAATTTCACATTTTCTTATGAGATGGACTAAGTAGGTGCCAGCTTACAAAACTGTACAATTCTGTGGCTCTTTGGGCAGAAAATAGCAGAGTTCTATGGTCTTCGTCGAGCATGTAGATGATCATAAGAGGTTGGGTATGGCTGCTGGATGCTGGGGGCTCCTGGGACCATGGCAGGAAGCAGTATGGAGCTACCCGTGGAGGGTTCACATTCCAGGGCTGCCACTGGGATACCACAGGATTCTGCACCATGGTGAATGGTGTCAGGACCCACTGCACCTCGCCCGGCAGAATGGGGATGCCAGAATTCTGAGGCCGTTTCACAGGAGTTGGGAGGTACTCAAGAGGTTGCAGGAACTCTGGAGGCCGAGGGTACACAGGAGACAGAGCAGCAGCAGCATCACTGAGATCAGCTTCACTACCGTATTCCAAGGTCCTGAACAGGGCTTCTCCATAAAGGCAAAACAAGAGCTCGCTCCTTGACTTCTCATTGGCCTCAGAAATAGCCCAGTACAGATCCTGCAAGCTGACCAGCATGTGGAAACATCTTTTGTAGTTCTTCATGCCCCTCGATAGAGATGCTCGGAAATGGCTCTGGATTTCTCGGAGATCTTGCTCCCGGGGAAGCCGATTTCATTTCAATTATTTCCCACTCCTCAAGAAAGGCCCCGATTTCCCAATCCCTCCGTGGTCTAAAGGCAGGGCCTGGGGGCCTTCTTTCCTGGTTTCCTTCCCCTTCATTCTCTGCCTGGGTGTTTCTCCCACTTTCAGTTGGAGCTGCTGTTACCTTCATTTTCCTTCCTGAGCTAAGTCCTCTTCCACAGTGGACTGAGAACCAGCACTGACTGTGTACTGATGGGTTAGCAGAGTCTGGAATGTGGAGAGGAGAACTGTGTTCACCCCCTGGGCTCCTAGAAGTCTCTGACCAATTCTGGGTGATTTTTAAGATCGGTAACAATGAGTGGACATGATGGCACAACTCCTTTAATCCTAGTACTGGGGAGGCAAAGGCAACCGGATCTCTGTGAGATGGAGGAAGTCTGGTCTACATACTGAACGCCCAGGTCAGCTGAGGTTATAGGGAGACACTGTCTCAAAAAAGTAAAAAAAAAAAAGGGGGGGGCTCGAGAGATGGCACAGCAATTAAGAGCACTTGCGCTTGCAGAGGACCCAGGTTCAGTTCCTAGCACCCACGCGGTGGCTAATAATTAAAAAGACAAAAAAAAAAAAACCATAAAATTTTAAAGAGAAGCTCACCTTGGTGAATAACGAGGTCATTCTCTCTGATGTATTATAATACCGCGACGCGCTGTGGATCATTCTGATGGCATTAATCAAGTTTTGTATTCCATGTGCCATGGAAACCTAAAATTGAAATAGAGAAAGCAAATTCTAGCATACAAGTATAGTTTTGTGAGTTTTTGTTGTGTTTTGCTTTGATTTTTTTTTTTTTTTTTTTGGTCATTTTTTTGGTCTCCCTGTAGGCCCAGTTGGCCTGGAACTCGCTATGCAGACCAGGCTGGCCTTGATCTCAGACCTGCCTCTGCCTCCTGAGGGCTGGGATTAAAGGCATGACCATGCCCAACTCAAGTACAGTTTTAATAACTGTATTCGGAATTAAAAGAACTCTAATGACACACAAATAGCATATTTCATTGTTAAGTCAAATTTTATATTCCTACAGTACACTATACATGATTGTTTCAAATGGGCAATTTAATGCCATGCGTTGGATCCTGGAGCAGGAAAAAAGGACAACAATTTTGACAAATGTGCTAAAATAACTAATGTTAAGATCTTAACAGGAAGAAGTGGATAAAGAAGACACTGCCCTAATGTTGCAGCCTCTCTCTAATTCTGAAATTACTTTATTTAAAGGTAAAATTTTGGTCGGGCAGGTGGCATACACCCTTAATCCCAGCACTCAGACGGCAGATCTCTGAGACTGAGGTCAGCCTGGTCTACATAGTGTATTCCAGTCCAGCTAGGGCTACAGGGTGAGGGGGGCTGGAGAGATATCTCAGTGGTTAAGAGCAGTTGCTGCTCTCGGAGGGGACCTGGGTTCTGTTCCCAGCATCCACATGGTATCTCACAATCATTGTAAGTTCAGTTCTAGGGGATCCAATGCCCTCTGCAGGCATTGCATGCATATGCTGCACTGACATACATGCAGGTAAAATATTCAGACATAAGCTACATAAATCAGGGACTGGGGAGATGGCTCAGCAGTTAAGAGAACTGACTGCTCTTGCAGAGGACCGGGGTTTGATTCCCAGCACTACATGGTAGTTAACAACCATCTATAGCTCCAGTTCCAGGGAAATCTGACACCTTCTTCTGACCTCCACGGGCTTTGCATGACATGGATGCACTCACATACATGCAGGCAATACACTCATACACATAAAATAAAAATAATATATAAAATATTTGTAAAGTATATAAATCAATTTTTTAATTTTTAAAATAAAATTTTGGACCAGGATGTAGCTCAGTGGCAAAGCTTTTGCCTAGAGTGGATAGGGTCCTGTGTTTGATCTCTAGCAGTATGACTGATCAAAGAAAGGGAGAGAGAGAGAGAGAGAGAGAGAGAGAGAGAGAGAGAGAGAGAGAGAGGTTTTTAAATGAGCTTTGGTTTGTTTTTATTTCTTGTATGTGTGCATGTATGCAAGCATGTGTGTTCATGTGAGAGCACATGGCACAGTGTACATGAGGAGGTCAGAGTACAATCTTCGGGAGCCAGTTCACTCCTTCTACAATGTGGGTCCCAAGAATCAAACTCAAGTTGTCAGGCTTGGTGGCAAGTGCCTTTGCCTGCTTAAACATCTCACTGGCTTCAGAAAGACTATTTTTTTTTGGAGAGGGTCTTTTTGAGACAGGGTCTCCCTGTAGCCTCAGCTGGCCTGAACTCACTATGTAGACAGCTGGCCTCAAACTCACAGAGCTCCACCAGCCTCTGCCTCCCGAGTGCTGGGATTAAAGGCATGTGCCACCACACCCAGCCCCAGAAAGATAAAATTTTTAAAACCTAAATTTTAACCGGGTGCAGTAGTGCCACGTCTTTAATCCCAGCATTCCAGAGGTGGAAACAGGTGGATCACTGCCTGCCTGGTCTATATAGCAAGTTCCAGGCCAGCTGGGGCTACAGGGAGACTGTGTTATATAGCTTTAGTTGTCAACTTGACACACCTGGGTAGAGGGAGCCTCAACTGGGGAACTGCTTCCATTGGACTGGCCTGTGGCCATGTCTAGGGGGCATCTTCTTGATTACTGAGTAATGTGGGAGGGCCCAGCCCACTGTGGGTGGTGCCACCCCTGGGCAGGTGGTCCTGTGTTATATAAGAAAGCAGGTTCAGCACGGGCCAGTAAGCAGCGTTCCTCCATGGCCTGTGCTTCAAGCTCACGCCTCCAGGTTCCTGTTCTGAGTTCCTACCTTGGGCTTCCTCTGTGATGAACTGTGACTCGGGAGATATAAGCCAAAAAAAACCTTTCCTCCCCAAGTTGGTATTGGTCAGAGTGTTTTGTCACAGCAATGGAGAAATAAACTAGAACAGAGACCCTATCTCAAAAAGACCAAAAAAAAAAAAAAAAAAGTTCTTTTAAGGCTAGCTGTTTCATCAGTGGTAGGATGTCTTCTTAGCATATACAAAGCCATGCATGGGCTTGGTCCCCAGGACCATACACACACAAAGTATCTGCAGAGGGAAAAGCAACTTCAAAGCTGACTACTTCAAAGCCAGGTAAGGTAAATTGCTAGACTAAAAAGAAGAAAGCGGGGTATAGGAGAACACAGAGACAATCCCGGTGCTTGGGAGGCAAAAGCAGAAAGGTCCGAAGTTCAAGGCCGGCCGAAGCTACGCAGTGAGTTCAAAGCTAGCCTGGGCCACCGGAGGTCTCATCTCAAAAATATCAACAGCTCCTCTGCTCTTTCTTAGAGATGAAGAAACTGATACCTTGAGGGGTAAAGTAACTTACAGTGCAAAGGATGATTAGAAAGAGAAATCAGACCAGAAGTCCTTCTTACCTGTCCATCTCGATTCATATCCCAGGACTAGCTTGTAAAGATTGTGGGAGAAATCTAAAGATAGGAAACCTATTCCCCAAAAGCTCACCGTAGAGTGGAAGAAAACCAGGCAAGTAAGTAAAAGATGTAAACGACTCAGAGCCAAGCAGAGTGGGTACAAGGAGGACACACAGCCATGGCCCCACACACTAAATACTTACTATGTGTGGGTACTGGACTCAGAGTTTCCTGGATTACCTAGTTTATACTGGCAATGATCCCTTAAAAGTAGGTCTGAGGGGCTGGAGAGCTGGCACCATGGTTAAGAGAATTTGCTGCTCTTGTGGAGGACCTGGGTTCAGTTCCCAACCCCCACGTCAGGCAGTTCACAACCACCTATACTCCAGCTCCAGCTCCACAGGACCTGATGCCTTCATCTGGCCTCCACAGGCACCTGCATGCATGTGATGCACACACACACACACACACACACACACACACACTCAGGCACACAAATACACACATTAAATAAATAAATAATAAATAATAGAAGATAGATAGATGATAGACAGACAGATAAATGAGTTAGATAAATAGAAAGTCAAAGTAAACTTGGTGAACTGGAGAGATGGGTCAGTGGTTTAGAGCACTGGCTATTCTTTCAGAGGACCTGGGTTCGGTTCCCATCACCCACATGGCACCTAACAACTGGCTGTTACTCCAGTTCCAGGGGATCCAACACCCTCTTCTGGCCTCACTGTCCATTACACATATGTGGTGCACTTACATACATGCAGGCAAAACATTCATATGCATAAAATAAAAATAAATTTAAAAATTTTAAGATTATTTTTTAAATTTTTAATATTTATTTTATTTTTAGTTATAGGGGAGGGTGTGTACACATGAGTGCAGGTGCCTGTAGAAGCCAAATGAGGGCTTTAGATCCCTTGGAACTGGAGTTACAGGTGTTTGTGAGCAGCTTGATGTTGGTGCTAGGAACTGTACTTGGGTCTTCTGCAAGAGGAGTACAGACATTGAGCTACTAAGCCCCAGCCATCTTTCCAGCTCCCCAACCAAAGTTCTGTTTTTATATACTGAATTATTTACATGTATTAATTCATTATAAAATCACTCTGAAAGATAATAGCAAGCTAGATCTAGGGGTTCTAGTCTTATCTACAATTCTATAAAGATTCTGTTGGAAAAGAGACGTTGGTCCTAAAATATTGGCTCACGTATCTTGAGAATAATTCGAAAATGTCAAAAGTATTTGGGATCTTTTATCTAATCCTTAAAAGATTTTAGAGTTTCCTCTTCAGAGGGGGGAATGTTAGAGTAGTCAAAAGCCCCATATATATATATGAAGAAGAAAGAGTACATAAAAAAAAGAAATGGAGGATCTTATAAAGATTCTACAAAACAGTAAACTTGGAAGAACGGCAAAATACTTCTTATTTAAAATGCCATACACGAAAACATACTTACACCTAAAATTGTTATACATGCAAATGTATTTAACGTACACAGCACAGTGCCTATGTTGAAAAGCACCTTTACAAATACAACTGTTTGGGCAGCCCTCCTGCCTAAATGTGATTCAAAACTCAGGCAACACTCAGGCAAGATTGCAAACCACTGCCCCAAGTACTTAAAAAATACCATTTCCTTGATTTGCCTTTTCTATCTAAAGAAATGATAGGACAGTATAATTTTCATATTTGTATGAAATGCTAGCCAATCCATAAATTTAAAATTACCAGAAAGTTTGAAGGACTAGCAAGTGATATCAAGTGATACTTTTTTAAATTACATTTGTTTTCAAAAAACCAAAAAAAATTACATTTATTTATTGTGTTGTGTGTGTGTATGTGTCTGGGAGAATGTGCCATGGCACACACGAGGTCAGAGGAAAACTTGCAGGAGTTGGTTCTCTCCTTCCACCACATGGGACTTGGGGATCGAACGCGGGTTGTCAGTCTTGGAGGTTTCTTTACTCACTGAGCTGTCTTCCTAGATCAAAGGCACTTTACAGAGATCGGCTATGTGATACCAGCAAAGTGCTTACCCCAAAATGACATCATTTCCTACTCTTTAAACTGGAAGATTATCTACCATGGTAGGCAGCCTTCAAGATGGCCCCAGTGACAGTCACTCTTACGGTATTCCCGTACTTGGATAATTCCTACCCCCCAGGTGGGGTAGACTTACTGGCTTGTTTCTAACCAATAGAATTCAACCAAAATGATGAGATTTCTAAGCTGAGGCTACAGAAAACAGTGAGTGTCAGCCAGGCCTGGAGGTCCAGGACTATCATCCCAGCGACTCAAGAAGCTGAGCTAAGAAGATTACAGGTCCAAGGTCTGCGTGGCTCCAGAGTGAGTTCAAGGCCACTTTAGGCAACTTAGCAAGAGCTTACCTCAAAATAAAAAATTTATTTTAGAAAGGCCAGGGGTGGGCACATTTACACTGAAGGACATCTGGGTACACATGCTTGTCTGGATAGGACTTAGCGTGCATGGTGGAATACATGAGGTCCAGTGGGGGGAAAAGGGAAGCATGGATGGGGGAGGGGGTCTAAATCTGATTAAGAATTGTTGTATGAAATTACAAAAGCTCAATTAGAAAAAAAAAAAAAAAAAAAAAAGGTCCAAGGGTCAGAGGACATATTCCTAGTGATGCAAGAACCTGGTTCAGTTCCCAGGAGCAAGAACAAAAAAAAACATGAAAAGGGGAAAAAAAAGGCTTCCAATTTGGCAGCTCTCAGTCACTTGCCCAAGGAGTTGCTATGAGGAGAGGCCCATGAGGCTAAGGGTGGAAGTCTGCCAATTATCACAGGACTGAGTTTAGGACAAATCCTCCACAGCCAGCCTACTCATATGGCGAGACCACTGCCCCAGTTATCAGCCTGTCTGTACCTCCATGAGAGACCTTAAAGGCACCTGGCTTTCTAACCCACAGAGACTGCCACATAATAGATGGCCCTTATTTTAAGCTACTTGGTATGGGGGTGTAATTTATTATTCAGTCATGGATAAGTACTATATTTGTCTTGTCTAATTCACAAATGAAGTCCTGATTAGAATAACCCTGCATATTTAAGCATGGGTTAAAAGATCAAATCTAGGTTTCTCAGCAGTTAAGAACACTGGCTGTTCTTGCAGATCTGGGTTCAGGTCCCAGCACCCACATGGTAGCTAACAATATAATTCATAATTTCAGTTCCAGGAAATCCAACATCACCTTCTGGCCTGCTTAGGCATTGTATGCACATGGTGCACATATATATATATATAAAACAGTAATGTATATAAAATAAAATCAAAAAATTTTGTAAAGATTAAATAATCTAGTTTGTAATTCATTACAACTATATAATAGGAAAATATGCCTTTTAAAGAGTTTTTGATAGTGTATACTTTCTGCAATGTGTACATATTAAAGTTATTTTAAGGTGCAAGTTAATTATGCGAATTAACTTTTTAAACTGC